CCCCTATTTTGGAAATCTGGCGGTTTTTATGGACAGGTTTTGTGTAGATTAACAGATTTTTAACAGAAGTTTTAATATTTTGACTGTTGTTTATCCATTTGCGTGCCTCTCAGAAGACGTGCCATATAGTGCTTTTGGCAATATTCTGGCTGTTGTTGTTTTTTCTACAAACCTTTGAAGAAATCTACTATGCAATGATATCTTCGAAATAAAGTTCGAAATACAGCGGGTATAAATCATAATTACGTGGCAATGTATCCAGACAGGACATTTAGCTTGTGTGAGAGCAGCTTTGTTTACCAGCAATTTATCTCGCTTTTACCCAAGTTTGCGCGCACAGAAACAGAAAAATAACCGCAGGAAACATCTAATAAGACACTCCTAACGCAATATGCCATGGCCTCAGAACGACACTTCTCACAAAGAGAGAGTGTTTTTTTCAGTGCGTGTTTTATTCAGTATCACACAGTTTGATGTTGCTCACGCAGAACTGAATCACTCCATACCACAGAGACAAAGCGCTATCCGAATCTGCACCTGCAGTGTCAAGAGGCCGAGAAATAATGAACAGGGCTGACTTAGAACTGTTAACTCTTGTAAACTGATATAAAGAGACAAGACATACAATAATGCTAGAAAAAACACCCTCGCGTATCCGCCTGTATGCGTTCAGCGGCGCTTTCCAAATTTTCAACAGCCTTCTGAATTGTCTTTTTGATTGAATTTTGCACAGTTAAACAGTTCCAGCCACCTCTATACCCCCGGTGCCATTGATGTCTTTCTGACCTGATAAAATGCGCTTGGCTGCTGTCAAATGGGCCAGCTTTGCCTGTTCACATTTAAATATGGGAATTAGTCACAAGCAGCAGAAATTGCTAAATTGTTGGCCTCTTTTCAGCGACGAGAGCGCTGGGGTCTGCATTCATTAGATTGAATTTAGCGTCGAGGCGAGAGACCTCTGTGGCTGTCTTTTACCGGGATGTCATAACAAGGAATCGTTCTGGAAATGAGGTGGCGTGCGCAAAAGAGAAGAGGAGGGGGTCGCCATTCATCATTTCGGTTCCAAGCGGATTCTGTCTCACGATCACTTCTGAGGGTGTGTTAGTGAGGCATGCAAACATCATTAATGTAGCTCATGTCACTTCCAAGAGCTTCTGATGGATGACCGACAGATAGACATCATCGAGGACACCGCAGCAACCACATTTTTAATGACAAAATGTATGTTCAAAATTGCAGAGCCACTTCTCTCTCTCGATTACGCCCTCTCCCCTAAAGGCCTTCAGGTAATGTAGCAACTTTTAAAAACACACACTAATATGAGCTATTCTTCAGTGTAACCTTCAAGACCCTTCTGTCACTTAGTTTCATTTCTTTTTGATGATAGGAAGTTACCAAGGTTTTATTGTTGCATCGGATAACTGTAGCAACGTTGGCGGAAAATATGATTATCCTCACTGGCAAAAAAAAAGGGGCCCCTCTTTTCTCTCCTGCTGACTCTACCATTCATAAAACCACTAGGTAAAATAAAGAAATTGTAAACCAACTTCACATTCATGCAGAAATTTTAGTATTTCTGTTTAGACAGAGCTGTAAAGTTTATTCAGATATAACGACTACAAAGTATAACTTCTAACATCAAGTTTTAAACTTCACAGTAGGTTGCTGTCATGCTTCAGTCTTCAGCTGAGCTCGAGAGTGGAGCTGCAGCGCCGTCTGGTGGTCAAAATAACAATTACATTTTATTCCAAGTAGGATGTTTGATTTAGTTAAGCAGCCATGTTTATTAAATCTATCTATCTATCTATCTATCGTCTGTCTGTCTATCTATCTATCTGTTTCTCTGTCTGTCTGTCTATCTATCTATCTATCTATCTATCTATCTATCTATCTATCTATCTATCTATCTAGCAGTGGCTCTCCGGGCCAGTAGGCGGCAGTGTTTTTCAGTCGGGTGTCAGATCACTTCGGATTGGATTCTTGTGTCAAACCTCCGTGTCTCCGCAGAGAGCGAGGCAGTATGGCGTTAAGTGTGCTCAGAAATTGCTCAGAGGTTCTTAAAATAAACGTCCGGAAATTCACCGCTCTCCAGCACCTTTCTGCGGGTAAGCTGAGCTCACAGAGCGTGCCGGGGGGCGTAACTGTGGAGGTGTGGCCAGCGTGACTACAGTTAGCGTGTTACAACATACGCGACGATACTTTGTTTTTTTTTTTCTTTCTAAGTAGTTTCAGGTTTTTCACCATTGTAACTTAAATGCACTGATTGTAACATTACGATGTCTTGATGTAACTCACCGTTTTCGATTTAGTGTTTGAAGCTTGAACTCAAGGCGGAAGAGTGTAAACCTGCTATGGCTGATACAACAGAGAAGAAATCATTTGTTTTTGGGGTCCTATCCAAGCGCCACCAACGACAATTATCAAGTTAAATCGTTTTTGTAATATATATTATATATATATATAGTAACAGTGGTTGCAAGGAAGAAAATCGTGTAAATGTATAGAGATTTAAATAGATGAAGACCAATTGCAATTTAGTATACAAATAAATGCAAGAGAGCAGATCAATCACAATTCGTTAATATATAGACAGACATCCTGTTTTGGCAAGCATTCCAACACCTTATACTTTGTTTCGAGTCTTTGAAAGAAAAAAAAAAATACTGCTTCAGAAGATATAATCGGATGAATATCGGTAGAATATAAGATATAATAGAAAGAAGAGCTGTATGTTGCCTTTCAGGTACTGTAAAAATGGCAACCTCTGAATCTCATATCAAGAAGCACCATGAATGTTTTTTTCTGTGTTTTAGGTGTTCGACACAAGACCACAATTCAGCATGCTACACGACCTGATCTACCAAAGCTGGCCTATAGGAAACTGAAAGGGAAGAGTCCTGGAGTGGTTTTCTTGCCTGGGTTTGCCTCTGTCATGGGTGGACAGAAGGCAGAAGCATTAGAGGAGTTCTGCAAGTCTTTAGGTCACTCATACCTCAGGTAATAAATAATAACAACCAGAGACAGACATTCGTCATTTGTAACAGTACATTTAAACGTAATTAGTACAATATAAGTACATGTAAGTACATTTAAACATAAAAACAAGGTGTTGATTTCTCACAAAATTAAAAGATGAGGTAAAAATCTGGGGAAAAAAAAGGTAAAATCCAGAAATGTATTTATTGTTAATTATTCAGAGGTGCAAATAAATACGTGTTGAAGCATAAATAAATCAATGATTATTCTAAAAAGAATGATTTCCTTCTCAATGCAGTTGAGTGCAAACTTCAGCCCGTATCTGATTCTTAATCATTTATTGGTCATGTCAGTACTAACCTCCCACTAACTTCAGCGCAGCATTGGTGGCACATCATGATAGATGGCATTCGATTGCAATGGACCCATTCATAAAGTCTGAATTTTTCTGTTGTCATTGAGTTGACCAGTGCAGGGTTTGCACTTCACTGGTTTGGGAAAAAATGCTACTGAAAACTGTACTTTAAAAAAAAAAAAGTGTACTTTAGACTAGTGGTTGTCAAACTGTGGTGCATCATGGAGTGCCCTCAGGTAATACTTGGCACAACCCTAGAATGGAATTTGCTCTGGAATGTGATGTACTCCTCCTAGGTTTTTCATCCGATCGCTAAATTTAGCAATAGGATGCTAAATTACAAAGACATTTTTGATATCTCAAACCGTTTGGCTGTGGCGAAGCAACAAATTTATGATGAGAAACAGAAAGTGTGTTATAACTTGCACATACATTGTCTGATTTTGATTAAACTTCAGCAGTTTGTTTGTTGTATGATGCCGATCGCTTCGATGTGACTATTAGGAGTCAAAGTTATAGCACCACCAACTGGCAGCAGGAAGTGTGTCATTTTTAAAATGCTTTGAAATAAGCCTCTTATTTTCACTCAATTTGCTTCAAACTTCACCAGAATAATGTCAAAATACGGCAGATGAGAAACTGTGAAGGGATTCTTGATATCTTAAATACTGTTGCCCTGGCAATGTGTCAAACTATTTTAAGGCACTTAACATGCTTAGAATTTCATGAATCTCGACACACACATCAGTATTAATGATAGTTAGACCCTGGCAAAAGCTCATAAATGGGCGTGGAGCATGTGCTCTATAGCGCCACCTTTTGTCAAAAGTGGGGGGGGGGTTAGTTTTTCCTACAGTCACCAAACTCTGTACATATATTGTTCTCATCAAGCCGGATAACTTTGTAATTTACAGTCATTAACAACAACCAACAGGAAGTCGGCTATTTTGGTTTGAATGCAGATTTTTGGAAAAATCAAGCTGTGAATTAATATATACTTCTCCTAGGAGAATCATGCAATTCAAACCAAGCTTTGTCAACATGATGCCAAGATACTGAAGATGCTAAATTACGAACAGATTTTGGATATCTTGAACGGTGTTGCCATGGCAATTTATTACATTTACAGTAAAAAAAGGAAACAGTAATTTTCTTATATCTTTAAAGTGCATTATCCAAACTCTTCAAAACGTTTTACATATGAAGAACAAGTCATTCTGAGGTAACATGCTTAGTTTCATACATTTATAACGCTCAGGGGTCAACAAAAAATAAAAAAAACTATCAGACATTTCAGCTGACAGATGAAGGCTGTAATACTATAGTTGTCCACCAGATGGAGTCATGGAATAAGAATAAGTCTGATAATTTACAGCTCAGCTCAATTAGTTAGAATGACAAACTAATACATAGAATAAGTTAATATGTACAGTACTGGTAATATAGTTTTATATAATTATTTCACAAATGCTTATAGATAATTAAAATCAGTTTAAAAAATCCTTACATCCTTACAGATCATAAAAAGTTTTGGTAACACTTTACAATAAGTTCTCATTTGTTAACATTAGTTAATCCATTAACTGACATGAACTAACAAATGAACAATATATTTTTACAGCATTTGTTAATCTCTTTTAACGTTAGTTAATAAAAATGTTCATGGACATGTTAATTCACAGTCCATTAACTAATGTTAACAGGTACAACTTTAAATTTTAATAATGTATTAGTAAGTTTTGAACTTAATATTAACTAACATTAATACATTCTATATAATATTATTGTAAAGTGTTACCACAGTTTTATATATTGTTCACTGTGTGTGTGTGTGCATTTCACACACTTGATGTTATAGTGTAACCCTTTCATTGCTGTAACCCTTAAAACCAGACTGCCAGAGGGTTACTGTAAATGCATGTGCTCGCTGTGCACCGTTTTCCTGATGCCACCGGAGTGGTTGTTGCGCTGGTGGCTTGGGCCCGTCATCGCTGCTTGCAGCTATATTTTTATTTTTATGACACTTTATAATGAGCAGTAGCTACTAGCTAATAAAACTGTTGACGGGCCACATATAAACATTAGACCTAAAATTATAACATAATACCAATCCATTTACTTACCCTTCAACTTGGAAGAATTCATACCAAATTTTTAAAATTCTGGTAGAAAACATACATAACCATCTACTGTCGGGAATGGGAAATGCATCCAGTTGGAACAGAAGCATATGAACATAGCCATTTATTACAGTGTACAGTGTTTTCTGTTTCCACCTTGAACTCTATTGCGGTTGTGATAAATGTACATCCTTTAGGTTTGACTATTCTGGCTGTGGTTCATCTGAAGGGGAAATGGGTAACTACAACATTGGTGCCTGGAAGAAAGATGTGCTCTATGTACTGGATGAACTAGTAGAAGGGCCACAGGTGAGTGGATTAACAGCGTGACGACACTGGATGGTTTGGACAAATCAAATTTTATTTTAATTTGAAAAATTGCATTTTACCAGCACAAATATTCATTCAATTATTTGAATACAAATGAATTGAATTATGCACATAATCAAAGTAAAATCAACTCTAGTCCAGAATTCTTTTGGCATGAGATGATGTCTACAGGAAGCAATAGTAATCGGGGAATCGTCTAAACTTTATATCTGATAGAAAATGACATGTTTGCCTTTATTTCAGGCCAGCTGTCTATAGCACAGGTCTGAAATGATCAGTATCACATGTTTACATTGACATTTTTCCCTATAAAAAGGTTCTAACAAGTGTTTGGGAAATTACTTATTTTTTTCTTTTTTTCCCTCTTTACTCAAACGTTCTCTTTCGTGTCACTTTGCTCAAGATTCTGGTGGGCTCCAGCATGGGTGGGTGGCTGATGTTGCTCGCCGCTCTCGCACGGCCAGAGAAGACAGCTGCTTTAGTGGGCATCTCCACAGCTGCAGATCACTTCGTCACAGCCTTCAACTCCCTACCGATAGAGGTGCGAAAAATTTCAATGTCATCTTTTAAACTTCAATATTGGTAAAATAATAATAATAATAAAACCTTTAAATTGTTACAAATTGTGTATTTTTGTAAATGTAACTAATGGTGCTTTACAGGCAAGTATCACTATTAGAGATTTACACTTACTTTTATTCCTTTATTTATTCCATAGCATCAAAAATGATCCGTACCAGGGGTTGTAGGGCACTATTCTCTGTAAAACCGCTTTGGAACAGTATTTATAGTGAAAAGTGCTATACAGGTACATTTGAAATTGAATTGAAAATGGTCGTTTTCAGCTTTATACAAAGTTAATTTTTCAATCTGAAAATGGAATCCTTTATTAGCTTGAATATTCTATAGCCTTTCCACAACTTCTGTGCACTGTCTAGAGGGTCACACACTTTTGCCACACAGATTTTGTTAGCTGGACAGCTAAAGAAAATGTCTTGTAACATCTGAGAAGTGACGTACTGTAGTCTATCGGAGTCTATTACAATGACCTCAAGAGGTCATTGTGGGAACAAATGCAAGGTGCATTAATACTATAGCAATAAACATCTAATGCTCTGGCAGGCATAGATTGCTGATCCTGTGCCTATACAGAAGTAAGCCCTTTCTAGACCCTGCCCTAACTAGTACCGCTTGTGTCAAGGCATTTAATTGGTAACTGATGATATGTAGTATGTGCAGTAAATACTTTAAGAGTCCATATAACTATTCTGTTGCAAATAATTGAGGAAGAACGGATGGCGGCACGGGTTGATCTTTCATTGGCCAATCAGTGGGAAAGGCGTTTCATGTTGTCACACATGTGAAAATCGTGCATTCAAGCTATTTATCCATTTCCTACCAATGAACCTACAAATACGGTGGCCGAGAGAGCTCAACTCGCTGCAACTTCAGAAAACACATGCAAATAGAAAAAGCACCAGCAAATTCAGAACACATCTTCATCAGTTTAACAACACATGCGCTGCAAAGACTCACAAGGCGACCAAATACAGAAAAGCGTTACAAGTAGCACAGACCACAATGGAAATGTTTAAAGGAGCCCCCAACAACCCTTACAAAAATGAACCATGGTTTTATTATAGTAAAAGTGTAGTAATGAATATTTTGGCGTTTACCATTTTACCATTACCATTTTTTTTGGTGATTACCATGTGTGTAACCACACAAATACCATGGTTAAACTATGGTTAGTGTAATTTGTGATTATCATGGTTTAATTTTGGCTAATAATAATAACTGATGAAGTCAAGTTTGTCAAACTGATGAAGATGTTTTCTTAATTTGCTGGTGTTTTTTTCTATTTGCAGTGAGTTGAGCTTTCTGGGCCACCGTATAAAGAAGAAAACTCAAACTAAATTATTTTGAAGAAACAAATAAAGGCCCTAATTTCTGCTTATTTCGTTTCAAATTAAAACATTTCATGACTATCCAAATGTGCACAGTATCTAACATTACTTGTGAGCAGGAAAAACTTGCTACAAAGTAAATATGTATGTATAAATGATATTTGGCACACTGACAATAAAAACCAGTTATATAAATTTTTAAACAGCTTTTTATTATGCGCCTCTGTTAGATCATGCGTCCATGCCAGAAATATCAGATCCAGACTCGGATGCCAGATCCAGTCAGAAAATATCCGTTTTGTCTGGTAACACAACAACTAGTCAGCAAAGTTGTCTAATACCCAAAACCTGTTTACAGCAAGTCTTGTCTGGCACCCAAACCTGTATTAACAGTCTTCTATCAGCCAAGAAGTTAAATGAGTAAAGCCAGAGAAGAGCAGAAGCAGGAGACGAAGTGATGATGATAAAAAAAAGGAGCAGAGTTTATTGAATAATCTTAGTTGCTTATGTTCCAATGCTCAGAATTCATCTGACCAGCACAAGTGTTATTATACCACAAGCTAGAGCAATGGAAAATGACTGCTTCACAACATCGTCCTGTGACGTTAAAAACCTTGAAATGGAGACATTCTCTTATCTCATGAACACAAATATCCCTTATAACCACTCAATCATAAGACTAAACAACAATGGGAAAATAATATAAAATATAATAATACAATATAAATGACTAATCAATGAATGAATCAATGAAATGAGTATATAAATGGTTTAAGTGATGATTATAAATGATTATATGATTATAAGTGAATGAATAAATGAATATAAAAGAAAGAAAAACACAACACAAATGTACCGTTGCTCTCTTGAAGCAATACAAACACACACACAGGGTGCTATTAAGAATCCTTCACCTCGCGAGTGGATCAAAAAGTGAAAACACCTGATCTATACAGTTACCGTGTACAAATAATTCTGGCTTCTCATATAAATATATAGTTCAGTCACGAAACTCTTCCGAGCAGCTGATTGGTTTACTTAAAGCCAAATGCTCATCCAATCATTTGTTCGTTTCTATTTATTCCTGACTTGTATCGAATCCGTTCAGTGCAGCGCGTCATGGGATTTCACTAACCCTCCACCTTCCCCAGCACCACCTGCCTAGATCTGCTCGGGGGTTCTCCCTATTTTCCTTGCAGCAGTCTGAATTCAAGTCACCATTTCACATGCATTTCAGATGTATCCTTACTCCAGCAGCAGCAGCAGCAGCAGCAACGTAGCAGATCTAGTCCGCCGATACCAAGCCTATGCACATTGCATGCTTACTAATAAATGCTGGTAAAATTCATTTTCCGAGAGTTGTCATGATTGAACTCCATATATCCATAACTTTTTCCCCTTTCATTAGACAAAGAGGGAGATAGAGGAACAGGGCTTTTGGAAATTCCCTACCAAGCACAATGGAGAGGGTTTCTACACTCTGAGCATGGACTTTCTGAAGGAGGCGGAGAACCACTGCATACTCCAGAGCCCCATCCCTGTCTCCTGCCCCGTTCGTCTGATTCACGGCCTCAAGGACCCTGATGTTCCCTGGCACGTCTCCATGCAGGTCGCAGAGCGGGTGCTCAGCAATGACGTGGATGTCATCCTGCGCAAGCATGGGCAACATCGCATGTCAGAGAAAGATGACATTAAGCTCATGGTGTATACTATTGATGACCTTATCGATAAACTGACCACATTAGGGTGAGAATGGGGCGTGAGTACAGTGTGAAAGATGGGGAAATCAGGTTTCATCCAAAAATTTATCATTTCTTTCCAGAGCCATATATCTTACTTTCTTCCATGGAAGCCCATACAGTGACCAGGTGCTGCCATGCTCAAAAAAGTCTGTTTGAGTCATGTGCTATATTCCTTCTGTAGTGACCTGAAACTGTATGATAGCTTTGCAGAAGGGACAGGCCAACATTTAAAGGAGAAGTTCCATCTCACTCTTTGCAAGCAAAGCTGGATCGTGGCTCATCATGTTGTGCTAAATTTAATGAGAGAAGTGTCACACAAATCAAAAATCACATTTCTCAATGCAAAATCTTAAAAAAAAATGTAAAAAGTCTTAAAAAATTTTTTATGGCATTTCACAAAACCCCAAATTATCATTGTTAGTAAGTTTTTGCTGCTTATATATGGAAACCATGATACACTACTATTTAAATGTCTGGGCTAAGGTTTTTTTTTATACTTTTTATTCAGTATTTACTTTGTATTCAGTTTTGGTGACAGTATAACATTTGTATAATGTTACAAAAATTCTATTTCAAATACATTCTTTGCGTCACAGAAATAAATTCCATTTATTTAAAGATTCTTAAAATAGAAAAGTTATTGGAAATTGTAACAATATATTACATTATTACCGTTTTAAAAACATAAAAAAACCTAAGTATTCCAAACCTTTGGCCTGTAGAGTGTATGTTTGTGCTAAACTGATATATTTACTTTAAGATATGTGAATGTTGATGCTGTTCTAGGTGAAGAGTTCACATTTCCCACAGAGTTGTGTATTGAGATCTGCTCTGAAAGAGCCCTGTATTCGCTCTCACACCTCTGCTCCAGATTCTGCTGGCTGCCTCTTGTGATCATTGCTCTGCAGACTTCAGCCTCCGACAGCAGCACAGCTAAAACTCTGAACACTGCAATACTCCAAAACTACCGCTTCAGCAAATCTTTTGTAGAGAGTGATAGCGCAGGTCAATTTGGGTTGCCTTTATACAGATCGTGACTTTATTGCTGTCAGCACATAATTAATCTAGTCCTTTTTTGACCATTTTTATTTATGTGTGCCTTTTTTGCATGAACTTGTGACTTGCAATAGTTGTGGTCAGTGTAATGTTGGTTATTTACGTATGTTCTTTCCAAAATACTTTTCAATGTGCATATTTTGATGCAATAACTTTATTGATATGACTCAGAGTAGTGTTGAGCTAAAATATTTCCTACAGTAATATGCTTGTGATGTCAGTTAGACAGTTGTGCTTTTTCATACAGAGTATGTGTTTTGATTTGATCTATTCAGAAACCACAGACATTTTCCCTGCTTGTGCACAGATGAAAAGCATGAGGCATATAGTGATTCTGATGACTCTCATAAGTGGTAAGTTAATCAATGCAATTTAATTTTGCCTGTATATAGCAAAGAACTTTAAAAAGAATTGTGTGCATGTAAATGGGAATTGTATTGGACTAATTTTGTTAACAGATTAATAATCGAGTTTTCTCATAGCCGCGTTCGCCGCTCCATTTGTGAAAGGGGAGCAGGCCAAGAAATTTTTACGTCTAAAGAGACAGTCTGGCTACTGGGACCCCAATTATGCCCAGAACCAGTGGGGCTACACCATACAGGAGCAGGTGAACACTAGCAATGCATCACAGTTTACTTCATATGTGGAATCTCTAAAAGCTACAGCACTATTTACATCAGTTTAAAGTTTTTTTGTAGCCTGGTAAAAACGGTTCTGTTTGTTCTCTTTAGAGGTTCTAAACATGGAATAAAATTTTTCTGGATTTAATTTTGTTTTATACGTATGCTGGATGTTTAAATGAAGATGCACTGAAACTGTACTCACCTTCAGGTCCATCCGAGATTAGGATGAGTTTGTTTCTTCATCGGGTTTGTAGAAATGTAGCATTGCATCAGTGTCTCAGCAAGGGGTGCTCTGCAGTGAATGGGTGCCGTCAGAATGAGAGTCCAAACAGCTGATAAAAACATCACAATAATCCACAGCACTCCAGTCCATCAGATAACATCTGGAGAAGTGAAAAGCTGCGTGTTTGTAAGAAACAAATCCAACGTTCATGCGTTTTAACTTTAAACCATCACTTCTGGCCAGAATATTAGTCCATAATCCAAGAGCATGCACTTCCTCCAGTGAAAAAGTGCATCTCCTGTTGTCTCTCACATCAAAATCCAGCTACATATTTGTTTAGAGCTGTTTTGGCATGGTGCTTGATCTGTGCAGATTTCTCTCCTGATTCAGACAAGACAACTTTTTCAATGAAGAAAGCAAGATTATGGATCAAGGAATATTTTAGCCAATTTGAATGGTGGTTAAAAATGTATTGATGGGTTTGTTTCAGCTTTTGTCTTCTCCAGATGTTATCTGATGGACTGGAGTGTTGTGGATTATTGTGATGTTTTTATCAGCTGTCTGGACGCTCATTCTGATGGCACCCATTCACTGCAGAGCATCCATTGCTGAGACACTGATGCAATGCTACATTTCTCCAAACCTGATGAAGAAACAAACTCACCTACATCTTGGATGGCCTGAGGGTGAGTACATTTTCAGCATTGTTTTTATTTTGGGTGAACTATTCCTTAATGACATCAGCAGTCAAAGTGTTTAATAAGCCTGTATTTGATTGGAAAACAGATTAAAACAAATTAAAGAATAGTGCAGCGGATAAAATAATTAATAAATCCACGTGATTCTAATGAAATTAAGCTAAGTAATTAGTATATCACAGCAACATGTTGTCTGTGTGGCAGGCAAATGAATACTGGACTGATCTGAGAACGCATGCTCAGTATTACATGGACATGGGAAACCTGGTGTTTGACCGCTCTCTGGCTGAGTGAGTATCTTAAGTATAGTCTGAATTATGAGATGCAATACAATAACAAGGAAATAAATGTTTTTTCCTCTCCATAGTGAGACCAATAGGCTCTACATGGACATGATGAGGAACGTAAGAGCACAGTTGGATGCACACACAGGCCAGCAGTGATTGATATGGACAGAAACGATTGACTGATGAAGTCAATGGCGAGGGCTGAGGCAGCTTTGTTGATCTCAGGGTTGTGAGCAGGGCAGCATCCAATTTGTAGCAAAGAGTTCTCTTAGAGATTGCAGTTAGGTTGCAGCAATGCTTTTTAGCGTAAGTGCTTATACAGTATGGAAGACTTAAAAATAACATGAATAATTCCATTATCAGTGGATAGTATTGGATAAAGAAAAGCGACTGGCAAATGCTTTGTAAAAATAAAAAGTATCTAAATGCAAAAAGTTGAATTAAAAGTGATTTATCAATTCGTTTTATTATCTTTTTTTTAATTCCACAAATTAAACATTAAATAAATATATGTATTTTTTTATTTGAACAATTATTTATTTACATTTTAATTTGTTGGAATTCATTTTAAGTGGCGCTTACAGCCTCCCATAGATGACACCATGTGTCAATCAGTAATAGCAAACGGTTTTAAACTATTTGAAACAATATTTATAAATAAATGAATAAATCTTATCATGCAGTTCTTCAGACCACAAGAAGTATATGCAGAAATTGAGTCATGTCAGCAACTAAAATATACACTTTCCCTCTCTCTCTCTCTCTCTCGCTTTTTTAAACACACTGTAGGCTACTATGTTTTCTTGATGCTGAAAAGGTTTATCATGCTGTGTATTATTTGCCAACGTCCTATTTATATTTTCAGTTATATGCAGGCGATATGCCACACAGTATATTTGCAATTAATTTACAATAAGAATTGTGCATTTTACAACTCTGTTGGATTGATTGAAAATTGCTTTACAAATAATTCCAAGGATCAGCATTTTAAAACTATATGTAGGCTACATGTAAAAAAAAAAGTAGCCTATCTGCATCTGAGGATAGACTGGATGTAAAGATCGCGAGCTTGTTATTACATCATCCCCGACTGTATGCATACAGACATCGTGTTCTTCATCATGGCCTGTTTTTCCACGCGCAATCATGCACACAATTCTGCCATTCTTCCGAACGGCTTTCAACGCCTTTTTGGCTGGACGCGTTTTGCAACACGTCAAGCCAATGATGCGCGCAGCCTTCAGTGTTGCGTAACACATAGGCTACTGTCGGGTTCCTCGCCAACCCTCTGTCCATCAGCGAGGATGATGCGCGATGCTCTGCTTGGGTAATGACGGATGCTGAGCTGCGTCCCGCCCCCTCTGCCCCCCGTACGAACGCTGCTCCATGGTGCCAACAGACGGACATCATTACACGGCCGAGGAAAACAACAAACAGCCTCCATCAATAGTGAGTAGATGAATAAGAATATCTCACTGCACTATGGATAAATTAGAGCATATTAAACAATCAGTTAGTGATGTAGTTGCTTGCTGTCGTTCTGAGCTAGAGTCTGTTGGGCACAGGTTGGCGTTCGTGCCAGTTTGCTGTTATTGATAATCTCGATCAAATGGAAACGCGGGACACTGTAGTCTATTTAACAGCGTAAATATGGTGATATTGCTCTTTCATGTCTAGGAGGGACTCGACGTTTGTTGCATATCAAGCAGTAGCGGCTATACAGATTAAATGTATCAATATGTGACATGCAATTTAGTTCTAGTTTGGCAAATAGGAACAGGAAAAAATCATCTTCTGTCAATATGCTTAAACAGATCGGCTACGGCTTATTCTGACTATGAGTCTATAGGCATATGGTGCATTAAAATAAGAAATAAGAACCATATGTTGTGTGTGTGTGTGTGTGTGTGAAGAAGTATATGCAGAAATTGAGTCATGTCAGCAACTAAAATATACACTTTCCCTCTCTCTCTCTCTCTCTCGCTTTTTTAAACACACTGTAGGCTACTATGTTTTCTTGATGCTGAAAAGGTTTATCATGCTGTGTATTATTTGCCAACGTCCTATTTATATTTTCAGTTATATGCAGGCGATATGCCACACAGTATATTTGCAATTAATTTACAATAAGAATTGTGCATTTTACAACTCTGTTGGATTGATTGAAAATTGCTTTACAAATAATTCCAAGGATCAGCATTTTAAAACTATATGTAGGCTACATGTAAAAAAAAAAGTAGCCTATCTGCATCTGAGGATAGACTGGATGTAAAGATCGCGAGCTTGTTATTACATCATCCCCGACTGTATGCATACAGACATCGTGTTCTTCATCATGGCCTGTTTTTCCACGCG